AAGACAGGAAAGCTTAGGAGTTATTTTGAATTCAGCTTTCATTCATGTTTATTTTCTGCTACAGAGGACATGAAAATCATCATTTAGGATTTCTTTTGTTTATTTTCTTTTTTTGTGTGTGTTGAATTTCCAGCCAACTTCAGGCTTTGGGGTTTCTTTCTTGTTGGATTTTTAGGTCAGTGAATATAAATCTAATTGTATGATTTCCTGAGGCCAAGACTCGCAAATAAGATTTTAGGGATAAGAGGGAGAAAAAACTAAATTAACTGGAGAGTCTTTTTTTAAGCGAAAAAAAAAGAAAGACTATGACAAAAGGAATAAAAACACCTGAAGAGGAAGACAACAAAAAAATGGACAGGAAGAAGAAAAAAACGGGAAAAAAGAAAAGTTAAATGAGGAAAAAGAACCAAAGAACAAATAATACAAGGACAAAGGGGAGAGAAATGCAAAGACAGATAAAACCAAAGTAAACCAAACAATGTATATGTATTCTGTTAAAATGTCTGCCACTGTATAATTGACCTGTTGTTTTGTGTGTTGTCTTCTCATGGGGGAGAGTCACATGCCTTCCTTTGCCCCGGGCCCTACATTTCTAAAATCCGCCACTGCCTAAGCTGATGCATCAAAATCCAAACAACAAACCAATGTTCCTATTTAAAGTAATGATCCTTTTATTATGTTCTAGCAGCTGCAGGGATAGGTTCTGTGCATCTGAGTTAAATAACATAACAAAAAAGTTAAAAAAAACAAACCACTTGTTGTCTTCCTCTTCAGGCTAAATAACTAATTAGCTCATGTGAATCGTTGGGGTATAAAATATGAAAGGATAAGATGTTGTGAAGATCTAAAAACACCAAATCAACCAGAAGCCTGATGTTCTACACAAAAGAAACGTGTTATACACACAGTTCCCTTTGATTCTTAAAAAAACAGTGTCTTAATACAATGGGAAAACATTTTCAAAGGGCTTTTGTCCAGTTTGTCGGCTGTGATTTTTTTCTCTCTATTTTATCCAAAGTATGAATAGTCTAATTGACTCAATTTTTATTTTTTACTTTTTTCTAAAAAGGTGCATGCATAAAAAAAAAAAAAAACTTTCAAAAAACTACTGTGTCATTTAGATAAACACAGCATCCCACAGACCAACAGAGACCATACCATCATTAACCCAGATACCAGCTTCATTCAGGTCACCTGCAGTTTCACACAAAATCAGCATAACATCATAAGATCAAAAAGCAACACCAACTGCTGTTAAAGGTTTGTTAATTTCATTATTTGTTGATTTTGCCCAAAGTAACAGTTCATTTCGGGAAGAATGGAAAACTGGGATCCAAACTGTTATGCAGCAAAGATGTACATTTCTTTCAGAAAGAAATCTGTTGAGTCAGAGAATAAAAAGAAATAGAAAGATTAGCTGGTAGGACTTTAAAGTTAATTATTTAAGTTCAAATAAAATGCTCAGGAGCAGAGCAGGAGCAACTTCTCTTCTCTAGGTTCAATTCTCTTCCTTGAGAAATCTTTACCTCTACTATGAAAACAATTGTCATTGCTTCAATTCATCATTAATTCTTAATTTATCTCTTTTATATTCATTTGTTCTGTTGATATCACAGCAAAAACAATAAGGTTTCAGCGTGCAGACTTTCAAAATAAACTGAAGCACACCTAACCTGCGATAAACATTTTAAAAGAAATTAAGGATTCTCTGAATTGGATGTTTTTAATGGCAAGTTTCCTATAACTTACAGCACAAGGCAGCATATTTAACCTATAAAGAGACCTTTTTTTTTTTCCAAATCTGTCCAATCAGGGTTTCTTAATCCTGTTCCTCAGGGCCCACTGTCCTCCGTGTTTTGGGTGTTACCCTGACTCCACACACCTGACCCGAATGAAAAGGTGATCAACAGGCTTTAGCATCTTTTGAAGGCCGCTGAGGAGGTGATACAATCATTTAAATCAGGTGTGCTGTAGACTAAATGAAATGTACTTAGAGTTGCAAAAGTTTCCTGACTTCTGATAAAACAGATCACTGAGTTTTACAAACGCTCATCCAGGTTTCCTATAAATGCCTCATCAGAAAAAAAACTAAAATGCTTTAACTCAAATAGAAATTTGGAAAACTGAAGCTTTTTTCAAATGTATACAGAAGCTAAAACAAATTTCCTCTTTCACTGGGGTGGATTTATTGTTGGGATTCTAACCAGAAAAACATGATGAAAGCGAATAATATATATTCTGTTAAATTATACTGCTCTGATTGCCTTTTGTTTCTAAGATTATTGCTCATTCTTGTCCAACGTCACGAGGAAATTGGCTTTTTGTCACACGCTGTACAACATCAACTGCAATGTTTTTGCTTGTTTAAAAATGTTAGATTTATAGGTATTTGGACTTTGTTCAGAACTGTGGACAAGTCTGGTACTTTACTAATTTTATTGCCAAGCCTCAGTAAACATATATGGGCAGCTGACCTGAGAAGTTGGATCATAACACGCCCAGAGATCTGCACATTCAGACAGCAGTTTAGTTTAAATTAGAGGGAATGTTTCTATCATATCTTAATTCTTAATAAGGTGGAGTGGAATCAGTTTTTTAAAAGATTGTTTCCCAAAATGTGAACTTCTATAGAAAGACAGTTCTCTATTTTGTGAAAGTACCTTAGAGGCACACAGCGGACTTTGTGACCTAAAGAGTTGACGCATATGACTTATTTTAAATGATCCCTCAGGCCAATATACACAGCTTGACACTATTAATGCTACAAGCAGGGCAGCGCTTTGAAATAAAGCCTAAGTAACTTGGGAGATGGCGGCCGCCTTTGGCCTGGTCATGTGATCTGGAAGAACGTATCGCTTTATAGCCACAGGCTCTTTTACAGTCATAGAGCTAAGGCTTTTGCTCTACTGTTTTTCCGCCTGCCCGACTGATGGTCGTGCTAAGGCAAGGAAAAAATGTAAACCTTCTGAGGAGGCTTAAAAGAGAAACATGAAAGGGATTGTGCGGAAGGAAAAACAAGAGTCGATCTTGGAAAGGAGTGTGTTCGTCGGTGCAGGTTGAAAGAAGCCGGATGTAAAACCAATTCTCTTTTCTCACCTTTATTATCAGACTGGAAAGTTAACGCTTCGCTCCTGGTATACAGTCGTATATCTTTGCTATTATTTTCTATGTTTAGTAGAAGCAAAATACGGGCAAAGAAAGCTAACAGGCTGACTGTTGACTTTGGTGAAAGTGCTGCGGCGCTTGTAGCCACTAGAGGCGCTAGACGTAAAAGTAACAGCTCTAGCGTCCCTAGTCGCCAAAAGTTACATGGTGTGCCAATAAGAAATGATGTTGCTCTCCCAAACAGGAGATTCAGAATGAAGAAAGAGAAGAAATATATTGTTTATTTGATACAAATGAGAAACATTGGAAAAAATAAAAATAGAAAATAATAGGGGAGCTTAAACATAATATTAGATTGATCAGTAACTACTGGAGAAACAGGGTCAACATAGATTAGTTCAGGATTTTGAAGGTTGGGGAAGTTAATATTTACCGGTAGATGATAGCATTGTTTGAGTCCCTATATATATATATATATATATATATAGTAAAGGAAGAAGAGCCTGTTTAGTCGGCCATGGGTGGAAACCTAAATCACACTGGATTACACAGAATTCTTTGTTTAAATTATGTAACATTTCACTTCTACGTGTGCGAAATGTGGACTGAGAATTAAACTTGTGTTTCTGATCTGGGTAAACCTCTGATCTCAATAGAAACGTCTGTCAAAGTCCTATCCTATTTTCTGTGAGGTTTCTACTCTAACCCAAAAAATATTTCAATGTTCAGCTCAGAGTACATGCTTGAGGCAGGAAGATCATGGGTGCAACACCATGCCCGTTATTTTCTGTGTAAAAATGAAAACTTTTTTCTCCACATAACCTTTTAATGAAAAGTTAATTAAAATGCAGTGAGGTTCGGTGATCAGAGCTGCTTTGCCATGCTAGGATTCCAGTTTTGTCTATTCCCCTGAATGACTAGCTGTTAGCTTAAGCCTCCAAACACCAGCTAATCTGGATTCAAAGAGACTTAAAGATCCTATGTAATTAGAAGTGAGATAATAACTGCTTATATGTTTGTCACAGACGCTTACTTCATAGTTTTCTGAGGTACGCTTTCAGTGGCTGTCTGCATTAGGCACATTGCAGTTTCAAATCCAACAAATCCTTTACCGTTACCATTTAAAGTGTTTTTTAATAAGATGCCAGAGAAAACACTGGAACCATAGAATATTTCTGCAGCTGTGTGGACCTCAAAGTAACACAGCAATGCGTTTTCGTTCACCTCTTGGTGTGAACTGCCAGACAACTGGCTGAAAAAGAGCTAAAACTATTTTTTGTCAAGGAGAAATATTCTATGCCACTATGTCATTTTTCCTGAATCATAGCACCTTTAAAATCCAATGAACTGACATATTGATTTTACTACTAAAAACGCATGAGTCATCCGCAAAGTATTCCAGAGTGTCATATGTAGGGATGGGAGTCGAAAACCGGTTCCGTGTGTTTCAATTCCATGGCACCGTTTGGCAGCTCGCTTAACGGTTCCAGGCAGCACCAAAGCCAAGCGCTGGGCAGCACGACCTACATCATGTTTTTTACGCAAGTTACCCACACAGCATTCATTAAGCAAGTACGACGTGACCAGGCGTAAGCACTCAAAGCGATCGAAAGTTTTGCTTCATTTTAGGAAGAGAAAGATGGAAACAAGGCGCTTTGCAATCGTTGCAATTGCATCCGCGGGAGGAAATACATCCAACATGCAGAAACACCTGTGCACACAACATGGCATACATTTTAACGAA